GTTTCTGTTATACCATTATAAACTAGACTTTTCCACAGATTGTTTTCATTGTGGACAGATGTGTTGTAGATCATTGGTAATATTCCATGGTAGCTCCTCAGAACAAACTCTAGCATCATCTGACCTGCAGCTCTAACCACCTGATAAACTTTTCTGGAACAATGGTCTACTTTAACTACTGTAGCTGTTTTACTTCAGAGCCAAATCAGATACAGAGAATGAAATAAGATGCATCAACTAAACAGCTTTGCTGGTTCATCAGTTCAACTTTAGATACAAAAGAAATAGGATGATAAGCTGGTGCTGAGCCATGAGGAGCAATGAACCTCTATTGATGCACCACAACACAAATGCTTCAAAGATGTGAATAAAAACACGTAGTTCAGAAAAACAACTGGAATTCCTCATGTTTAGACCTGTTTAAGTTAATTTAACAAAAAACCCAACAATCAGATTACTGCTCAGAACATAACCCCAAGAAACAAACTGCAATATCTAGGCTCTTATTTTGCTGAAATACTAATTAAAAGGAAGAACCGTTAGGAAAATTAAAGCTAATGCTGTTCTAACTGGTCAAGTTGGTCCCTCAAACAAGCAGGTTGCTTTAAACATATCATGTTAAAGGTAAATATTCAGGGAAATGATCCAGTTTCCTATTGATTGAAAATGCTGCAGCCCAGGAGGTAATTGTTACTTTGATCATGCATGTAGATCAGTTATGATAAAAATAAAATGAACCAGTGTTAAAAACACTGTAAGTCCAGAGGGATCAATATAGCACATTTCAGACAATTCAAAGTTCTGTATGTTAAATAACGGCAAAGGAAACATGACAGGAAAAGTAATCTGCAGTGGCATTATGGTAACCACATAATTATTGAATACAATATAGACAATGAAAATAGATAATTGAAAAAGGATAATCATAAAAACATTAATGATATAAATGGTTAAAAGATTAAATGGAAGGAAAGCTGGGCAGCAATCTGAACTTACAGTGTTATGGCACATTCAAAAACCTCCTAAATGACTAAGTCTTTAATCTGGATTTAAAGCAATCAGTGGTTTTAGTACTTTTACAGATTTATCTGAGGACATTCCAGACTAGTCAAGCATAAAAACTAAAAGCTGCTTCTCCATATTTGGTTCAGATTCTCAGAGTAGATTGTCATGATTTGGTTGGAGGTTTTTGTGAGGACCCAAATGCAGAGGCTGAGAGGCAGGGGTGAGTTCTTCGAAAATTTAATGGGATAACACAGGTAGCAAAAACCGGTATCAAAGAAATCCAGAATAAAAATTAAACACAAAACCAGAACCATGGAGACATAAGGGGGGAACAATCACAAGGAGCGAGGGTGAGACAAAGTAAGACGGAGAACCAGCACTGAGGGACTGCACAGGGAGTGTATTTATGACTGACTGAACAAAGGCAGGACTAATGAGCTGATAAGGAGCAGGTGTGAGTAGAGCTGATGAGGAAGAGAAAAGAAAACACAATGGGGCGATAAAGGACAAGCAAAGACCTAAGAAACTTAAATAAATCCAGAACACATCAATAAAGCTAGAGAACAAAGAAAAACATGGATAAACGTGAAACTAAAAACTTAGAGAAAACCAACAGAACTGCGATCGTCACATAGATCTGATCCAGTAGACCTGAGAGGTCTGGCTGTCGATCCACTTCCAACCGGTCTGTAATACATTTTAGAGTGATTTCTAGACTAACAGAAGGATTTTAAAGTCTCTTCTCTGAGCCACAGGGAATCAGAGGAACTTCAGAACCAGGCTGATGTTCTCCAGCTTCTTAGTTCTAGTGAGGACACAGGCAGCAGCATTTTGGATCAACTACAGATGTCTGATCTGCATGTTAGGCAGACCTGTGGAGACACCACTGCAGGGATCAATTCTACTAAGGATGAACAAAGCTGGAAGTTGTTTTCCAACATTAGTCCTTTAATGCTTGAGATGCTCCTCAGATGACAGAAGGTCCACTTTGTTCCTGTCTCTATGAGAATCTGAAGGTTCAGGTCTGAGTCCATCACTACACCCTGATTTAGAGGCTGATTTCTTCTTTCTAAGTGGATGAACTGAAGCTGTGAGCAAAGTTTTTAACTCTCTTCTTTTGGCACTAAACTAGAATTGAGTTATTTATGTTATCAAAAAGACTGTTGATTATCCCACAAGACACCGAAAATATATCTAAAAGACAATGTAACCCTTTTGTTAATGCTGATATTAACCCGGAACAATTTACCTCTTTCCCAGCCAGAGGAACTCCACCATGGCTAAAGTAGCACCACTAATCCCTCACCATGCATCTGGGTTAAATCCTCCCACCATTGTGCTACAAGATATGGAGGAGGAGCCCGGTGACATCACAGACCGGGTCAGGTAAGTCCATACTAAATCTCCTCTCCCTGGAGGTAAGGGCCACCACTGCTGCCATATAGTAGGTGAAAATACCAGGTTTGGTAGGCCCTCCAGCTCATCCATAGAATACCCAAATACAAACATGTCCAGAAGCTTGAGGTGGACCATGATATCTGCTTGCTTTTTCCAGAAGTACCCAAAGAGCTGGACCAGGAGCTTTGTTCAACGTCAACAACAGCAACAACAACGAGGAAGAGGAGGAGTAAGAGACCCGCCTAAGCTGGCATATGTTCAATATTTACGTCCAGAAAAGGCCTGGCTGTGTTTAGTCTATACAAATCATGCTTAACATCGAGAATATATCAAATCACTTCTATCCTCCACTTTTCCAGGGATGGAAAAAAGAGGAAAAAGAAAGAGAAGAAGGAGAAAAAAGAAAAGAGAGAGTGAGTTTACTTATTTTTTAATCAGGACAGTGATTTGCTGCGACTTGACTGTCCTGGAGTTTGTTCTGAACGTTTCACTGTTCACTCGTCTGTCTTCTCTGTTTATCAGAAAGGAGAAGCAGGAGAAAAAGGAAAGGAAGGAGCAGAGGCAGAAGGAGAAGGAAGAGAAGGAGAAGGAGAAACAGAAAGAAAAGGAAAAACTGGAAAAAGAGAAGAAGGCTAAGGAGGAGGCGTACGTTTACAGGAACATCCAGCTCCTTTTCATGGTAAAATCATTTACAATAATTCATACATCTGGCTTTTCTTATTCCAGTGCACGAGAAATCGCAGTGATTGATCCAGCTGGAAACACTTACTACTATTGGCTCTTCATCGTCACTATACCTGTCATGTACAACTGGACCCTGATTATAGCCAGGTACCACAAAAACACCCTCCCATCAGCTTATCCAACATGCAGAGAAGACAACCACCCACCATGTGTATTAGCAAGAGGGTTTGTAGGTAATGTTTGGTTCCTACAGAGTCCGAATGAACATAAGGCACCATGTCAGGTTAGCCTTCAAAGTCAAGCAAAACTATTCCTACATGTCTTGTGACAAATGCCTTAGTTTCCCTTATTGCCATAGTGTCATTGCTTGCACCTTGCACCTAGTTAGGCACCTGGCACCACAGCTTTGCTTATACCAGTCTGGTGCAGTGTGCTTCAAGTCAGTGCGGACTCACCCTGGGGTCTGTTTGGACACACCCTTGAGTCTGCACACACTCACCCTTTAGTCTTTGCGGACTTACCCTTAAGTCTGCCCACACTCACCCTTTAGTCTTTTCGGACTTACCCTTAAGTCTGCCCACACTCACCCTTTAGTCTTTTCGGACTTACCCTTAAGTCTGCCCACACTCACCCTTTAGTCTTTGCGGAGTTACCCATAAGTCTGCCCACATTCACCCTTTAGTCTTTGCGGACTCACCCTTGAGTCTGCCCACACTCACCCTTTAGTCTTTGTGGAGTTACCCATAAGTCTGCCCACACTCACCCTTTAGTCTTTGCGGACTTACCCTTAAGTCTGCCCACATTCACCCTTTAGTCTTTGTGGAATCACCCTTGAGTCTGTACACATTCACCCTTGCGTCTGTGTGTACTCACCCTTGAGTCTTTGCAAATTCCACACAGACATTTTTGGACATGCTTAAGACCATGGTCTTCAGCCAGAAAGATTATTTTAGTTCCTTCAGATCAGGAATAAATTCCTACCCAAGATGATAGAGTTTGCTTTCTACCGGGTCTGATCTTCCAGGTATTGTTAGAGGATAGAGGCCAGCAGACATAGTCCTTAAAGTTAACACCTTGTTATCAAGCTACAGTAGGATTGGTTTCATCATTTTTAATGTAAAACCTGAGGAAGATGCATTAAACCCCAGAAATCTATTTAGATAGCAAGTTTATCCTTTTCCCTTAACCCTAGCAACACCAGGCAAGGTAGAAAATCCATGAGAGCATTCAGTCAAGGTAGCTTTTCCAGTGCATGTCTGGTTCTCCAATGTTCACCGGGCTTGTCTTTAAGAGAAAGCCACAGCAGGACTTTCTCTAAGTCTAACAAATACCATATTAAAGAAGTCGTATTCTACTAGTTTGGTCCATGATCATAATGCCTGTTTGTTTTTTAGGGCATGTTTTGAGGAGCTACAGTCTGACTATCTGATCATGTGGTTCATTGTGGACTTCATCTGTGACGTTGTCTATGTTTTGGACATGGTTTTCAGGACCAGGACAGGTCTGAATGCACACAGCCTCCTGTAGCCATGTTAGTGCTTTTTCATGTGTGTACCAATTAAGGTGATGTGTGTCTGCAGGTTACCTGGAGCAGGGTCTGCTGGTGAAAGATAAGCTGAAACTTCAAGAGCGCTACATGAAAACCTTCCAGTTTAAACTGGACATGGTTTCCATGATTCCCACCGACATCCTCTACCTAGTTTTTGGTACCTCCTACCCTGAGATCCGCCTCAATAAGCTGTTACGGTTCAACAGGTACACAGCACTCACCAATCAGCTTTTGATTTTTCCCAGCGAGTAAAAACCTGCCTATCTTTCCTTTATCCTATTCACTTAACCAGGTTATTAGCCTCCAATCTGTGGCAATAGAAATGCAAATGTTTAGAACTACTATTTTTAAATGATTTTTACTTTCTAGACCTGGATTATCCACCTCGAGATTTTTTCAGATACAAAGAGTAGGAAACTTATTCTGGTCTGGAAAAAATGCGATCATTAGATTGAACGATAGACTTTTTACGCTAAGCTTCAGATGAATCATCCTTGAGAGTTCAAGTAGGGGTATGGGGTATTTAGGCTACGATCACACTGGAGGCATTAATGCTCTATTCCAAATTTTTTGTGAAATCTAATTCATTTGTGTGGTCATTTACATTTCCAAATATATTCAACTTGTATGTGATCTCCTGTGTGAACTGCATTCACACAACTTAAATGTCCTGCATGTGCAGTAGAGGACGCAATGACGTCACAAGCCAGCGAGAAAGCTCTGTGTTTACGTAAGTAAACACGGTCGGTTGTGCTGGAGCACATCTAGCGACCTTTCCCAACCTCAGCCAGTACATTAACAACACAATCTTTTCAAGATGGTTGAAAATAAAATCCAGCTTTTGACATTACCGCATCCATAGTTTTGTTTCTCGTCGCTTCTGCGTACCAAGACATAGAATAGTGACCTTTATCAGGTATTAATGGTGTACAGGTCAGATGAATGCAACCTGGCCGTTCAGACAAAGGTGGCATTTGAAAAGATCAAAAACGTATTGGATTCAGGACCATAGAGCCAATTGCCCTGGGTCCCGCCGGAAAGAATCGGATCTGTGTTTTTCAGACTGTCATGAAAAGATCAGATACAGGTCGCATATGGGGAAAGAAATCAGATTTGGGTGTTTTAGGGTCTATAGTCAAACCAGTCCTTCTCACAGTTTTTACCCCATTTGCAGGAGATGTTAACCTGTGTGTCTCTGTCATCTTCTATGGCTACTCTTCAGGATGATGGAATTCTTCCAGCGGACTGAGACCAGAACCAATTACCCCAATGCTCTTCGTATCTCCAACCTTGTCATGTATATCCTCATCATCATCCACTGGAATGCCTGCCTCTACTACTCCTTCTCCAAGGCAATTGGTAAGTCATGTTTAGTAAGTTGGATACTGTGAAATGGGTATGCTGTTTAATGCCTAATTTCATTCGCCAATTTTTCCTTTCAGGTTTTGGTTCTGACAGGTTTGTGTATCCCAACCCGGCAGACCCGGAATTTGGTCGCCTGGTGAGGAAGTATGCCTACAGTATGTACTGGTCTACGCTAACACTCACCACCATTGGAGAAACACCTCCCCCTGTGGAGAACTCAGAGTACTTCTTCGTTGTGACAGACTTTCTGGTGGGTTTACCTTTATACTTCCCAGTAACCTATTGGCCAGTGTTCTTAGTCGTGCAACAGTTACAAGTTGGAAAAACATTGGTACATTTTGTACCAAGTGAGCATGCTAATCTCTGTTAGCACTGCAACTTGATAATTCTCCTTATGCAATTTATGCATCAAAAAATGCAGAATCATACTCAGTTTTACAAGAACTAACAAGACAGATCTGAGAAAACAGTCACTAAAACTGCAATCATGTCTTATATGTGGCATCCATTGGGTTTAATGAGCAGCTCCACAAGTTAAATGTTGATGACAGAGATTGATGTATCTTAATACCCGATGCCATAAATTTGTCACAGGAATCCTAGAAGCTTATTAAAGCTGTGTGAAATCTAAAGACCTATCGGAGCTGATACCAGAACTGGTCTGTCCCTGTCTCCAGGTGGGTGTGTTGATTTTTGCCACCATCGTCGGTAACGTCGGCTCGATGATCACAAACATGAATGCTGCAAGAGCCGACTTTCAGGCCCGGATTGATGCCATCAAACAATACATGAGCTTCCGAAAGGTCAGATTCCCCCTTCATGCTTTTCCCATCGTGTTGTCCTTGAATTAATCCAAACCTGGTATCATCAAAGTCACCTGGGGGAAGTGTAACTTGCATAACTTTTAGCAAACAACAAGCAATAATTTGAACATCAGTGCCCTTGTTGAATAACAAGGTTACTTTTTCTGAGATAGTTGACATTTTCCCAAATACCTGCTCTCTTTGCAGGTAACTAAAGACCTGGAGAAGCGAGTGATTAAGTGGTTTGACTTCCTGTGGACCAACAAGAAAGCCGTTGATGAGAGAGAAGTGCTGAAGTACCTTCCAGACAAACTGAGAGCTGAGATTGCCATTAATGTGCACCTGGACACCCTGAAGAAGGTCAGTGCTTACTTCTAGTCCTTCCTCTTTAGATGAGATGGGTAGGATACAGACCTACAGTACGGACTTCTGTGTTTGGTTCTGCAGGTCCGTATCTTTGCAGACTGCGAGGCCGGACTGTTGGTGGAGCTGGTGTTGAAGCTGCAGCCTCAGGTCTTCAGTCCAGGAGACTACATCTGCAAGAAGGGTGATATTGGTAGAGAGATGTACATCATCAAGGAGGGAAAGCTGGCTGTGGTTGCTGATGACGGTGTCACGCAGTTTGTTGTTCTCAGTGAAGGAAGTTATTTTGGGGAGATCAGTATCCTGGCCATCAAAGGTGAGATTCCATCACAGGAAGCTGGAGAGTCAAGATGCAACTATAGATTCAATGTCCTTCTAATTAGAAGCACATTTTCTTGTTGTCCAATAGGCAGTAAGGCAGGAAACAGAAGGACAGCCAACATCAGGAGCATTGGGTACTCCGATCTCTTCTGTCTTTCCAAAGACGACCTTATGGAGGCCCTAACGGAATATCCTGATGCTAAAGCTCTGCTGGAAGAAAAGGGAAGGCAGATTCTAATGAAGGATGGGCTTCTGGATCTGGAGGTACAATCTGGATATTGCTCATTGTATACTGCTAAGGAGTTCTTGTAAGTAGAAACCTACTGACTTTTTTTTGTCTCAAAGGTGGCAGCACAGGGCCCAGACCCCAAGGAGATTGAAGAGAAGGTGGACCGGATGACCAGCAACCTTGACACGCTGCAAACCCAGTATGCCAGGCTGCTGGCAGAGCATGAAGCCACTAACAGCAAGCTCAAACACAGAGTCACCCGACTGGAGAAGAAGCTGGCCCCGCCAGTGCCACTGGAAGAAGCACCTGGTGACGCCCCGCCCCCTCCAACACCTGAGACCACCAAAGGAGAAGAGAAGAAATAATAGGATGGAGGACTAACAATTTGAACTTTAGTTTACACCTGGATAAAAGGACTTCAAGAAGAGGATCAATGAAATCAATTCTCAAACTTGACAAGATTCAAATAAAAGTCTGAAATCCTAAACAAAGATTTTATTTTGGATCCTTAGATTTAAATCTGTCTGAGCTAAAAGCAGTTTTGAGAACCAACTTTTGGAGAGAGAGTGGTGGGAAATATGGGAAACAATCTCAGGTCCTGCTGGAAAAGAGACTCTGGATTTCAGCAGATAATGAAAGGACAGTTGCAGCTCAGAGGAAAAGGTTTCATGCTCTTGTAGTCTGGTTTTTTTCTTATGTTTGAGTTATAAACTGTTGTATTATTATGTAACATATTTGGAAAAAGGCAAATGTCCTTCCTGCTTTTCTGAACATAGATGAGAATCTTCATTTTGAGACTTGTTTACTAGTCAGTCTGTGGTTGTATAAATGTACAGAGAAAACCCTTCAGCCAGCTTTGACTGGGTTTGGGCTAAAAGTCAATTTCCTCCAAACATGCTTTAGTTTTCTGGTTGCCGGCTGCTTAGACCGGGCATACACTGTACGATCTATTCAATAATTTCTCTCAGCTACATCTCAGACTGTATGACAAGTTCACAGCTCACTATGTCCGATCTTCCACTGTACGGCCTGACGCCCTGATCCGATCTACCTGCTCACACTGCATGACCAAAAACCCCACGTCGGACTCATCACCGAGAGTTGCCCTGGTTGGACTTGTAAATCTGGAAGAAGAGGAACTCCCTTGTTTGCACATGCGCAGTGCGCTAGGTTCTGGTAAATCGGCTCATTGCTCTTCTTCAACAGTAGGATTTACCCACAAACAACCTACGACGGCTGGCTGAATTTCAAACATTTTTGATTTTCTTACGATCTTACGATTCCTGATCAGGAGGTGGTCGTGTGAGGCTGATCGCCCTTCATTACCCCCTGTATACTACACGACACAGGACACACGATGAGGCTGGAACTCAGCCTGATCGGATAAATTCTGGCATGTCTGGAGAATTGGCCCAACAAGGCCAAAGACTCGTACAGTGTATGCCTGGCTTTTCCAGAACTACTGACAGGGATGGTCCACTTGATGAATGTGGATTCAGAACCAGTTCCTTTGTGCTTTCACTGATGCTTTTCAATGAGGAGCCCCTTTTCTACTGAAAGCCCCAAGCTTTGTATTACCCAGCTAATAGGAATCCCAACTAATTTGTCATGTTCCTTTTCCGCTCTCTTAAAGGCCCCCGGACAATCGTGCAAATCAACAGCGTAACGTGGTTGGCAAAAAACATTAACCAACATCACATGTTGGAGCGAGATCGTGAACACACTGTGGGGGTTACGCACGCATTTTGGTAATTTTCCCTCCTTTTGCTGCACAATATAATGAGAACATGTAAAAACAGGTTACTAACTGCGACTACAGGCCATGTCTGAGACCTCTTCTTGGCTAACACCCTCCAGCGCCGACTACGCCAAGTCTTTTGTGGCTCTGGTGATGTGTATGCAGGACTGTGTCCCAGGATCGTATCCAGCTGGTCATACCAGTGGTTTGCCCAGCGGCCTGAGCCTTGACAATTGTTGAGGTCCTTTAGCCTCCTGTAGTCCTTAATTTTCCTGAGCTTGTGCCGTGCCTGCTTTGTGGTGTGCAGAATGTTTATTTGAAACTATACTTTTAGGGATCATTTCTGTATTTTCGGACTTGAGAAATGTGTTTCTATGTTGTATGGTCTCAGGGGAGTGGCGGCCTAGTGGTTAGGGCATTGCGCTTGGATCCCAGAGGTTCTGAGTTCAAGCCCCACCCCCACAGATTGCCACTCTGGTTCCCTGAGCAAGACCCTTAACCCCACACTGTTCCCTGGGTGCCGCACAATGGCAGCCCACTGCTCCCCAAGGGAATAGGTTAAACGCGGACAGGGAATTTCATTGCTTTGTACTGTAATGACAATAAAAGTTCAATTCTAATCTATTTGAGCCAGTCTAGCTGCAGTCATGGCTTAGATATAATCACTGAGCATCGCTGACTCAAACTCCCTCTAAATTTCATCCTTGGCAAAACAACTAAACAAAATGCTGGTTTAAAGATAGGGGGATGGGTGGACTTAACAAAAAAGATGGCAGACAGTTCACCAATCATTGCTACTTGCAACCCTGGATCTTCCAACAGCCAGACCAAGCAGAGCAAAGTACTGGGTAGCTTTAGGGACCAAATCCAGTGACTGGTGATGGAAATTAGTTGGGTAATTCTGTTTGGAAAAGCAAAGAGGAATTTGCTTTGAGCTGCAGTGGAAAAGGGGTTTTGGTCAGCAAACCTTGAAGCTGAAATAAATGTTTTATAAGGAAAATAAAAGCTGGATCTGTATTTTTTATTTCCTGTGAATTAATCTGGATCAATAGAAAAACCACATCTGTCAGGCATCTATCTCCCCACTGATACTCTCTACCTTATTCCCAAACTAAAGTTCACTCCATATTGGTCAGGGGTCCGAAACACAAACCGTTCAAAGCACATTTAGAGGATGTTTGGCTCAACCTGCTGCTGTGAAGCAGGATTCTCCACCATGAACAGAATCAACAATAAATCTGGATCCAGGCTCAGAATGAGCTCCTTGATATGTGCTTGAGAATGGCTTAGTCTCCAGGTGTTTTATAAAATATGGGAATCAGGAAATTATCTAGATAACAAACCGAAGATTGTTGTTCTCTACTTCAAAAAACACTTTAGATTTTAAAATGGAAAAATCTTTGTTTTTGTTGTTTTTTTTAATAAAAAAATTCAAACACCTGCTTTTTATTTCAGTGTTAAATTCTGTTTAAAGTAACAGTTAGTACGAATGATCCAGGTAGGGAGGCCTTAGTCCTCGATGCGGCCAACCCGGGTTCGAATCCGACCTCTGGTCCTGTCCTGCATGTCTCTTATGCTCCCTTTCCTGTAAGCCTACTGTTGGAAAAATTAGCCACTAGTGCTGCAAAAACTAAAAAAAAAAAAAAACTAAAAAAAAAAAATAAATTACTTGACCTTTACTGGTTGATTTTCTTTATTCGTACCCCGCTGATTTTTAATTGGTTACACCTGATCTAGTGGTTTAGGTATTCAATGGTTAAAGGAGAATAAACTGAACTGTATCTGGAGACCGCACTCAGGTATTTTCTAACTGATGACATTTTACTCCCTCTAATCGACTCTACAGTGCAGCAATTTCCCAATAAATATTCATGAAATGTCTTCAGAACTGATCTTTTTTCAGTTTTATTTTGAATTAATTGTATGTTTTAAGGACATTAACTGTAAACCTGTCAGGTAGTAATCCTGTGTGAAAATCCCTGTAGGTTCCAAAAATACAACCAGCTAAGTATACATTTAATGTCAATTAAAAGTAATTTCATCATTTGGATTTCGGACGTTTTAGGTAACAAAGTACAAATGCTTTGTTCCCCTAATTAAGTTGACACTTTGGCTATCTATCCTTCACTGGAGTAATTCATTTTTTTTTTCGTTTTAATGGCAGTAGTAGCTCGTTTTTTCGACAGTAGGCTGATAGAAAAGGCGGTATGAGAGAGGGGGGGAGTCATGCGGTAAAGGCCTAGAGGTCGGATTCGAACCCGGGTCGGCCTGGTGGAGGACTATGGCCTCCGTTCACGGGTCATGCACCAAACCACTGCACCGCCAACATAAAATTTTAAAAATAGACCCATTAGTTTTGTTTCATTTAAAGGTATGCTGGAGGATTTTTGAAAAGACCGGCTGTCTCCACTTAAAAAAACAGAAAATGCAAATGCACAACCCTGAGAGGGAACACCTATTAAATGGGTCATTGTACTAGGCCACCTTATCAATTCACTTTATTCTGTCCAATAAGCTGCCTGTAGTGTCTTTAAATGTCCAGCAGGTGTCAGTATAGTATACATAGCTAGCCCTGAACTCACACCTTACTCCTAAACCGTTGGTCCCCAGAAGTACATATAAGTCCCTCAATAGTAGCACGTTTCAGGGAAATTGTCCCCATAGGGTGATAAAAACGATCACACACACACGCGCGCTGACAGTGACACGTCACGTTCTCCGTATCAACGCCTGTTTAGGGGAAATGTGGGAGTTGTAGTTTCTTTACCGTTCAGAATGAACGAGGGGACACCTGACAAAGAACTACAAGTCCCAGTAGGCAGCGCTCTGCATTGCGCATGCGCAGCGGTGAGCGGCGTCCAGCGGCTCCCTTCTGCTGAGGTGTGTTTACCTTCACTCTGCGGCGGAGTTTGTCTGTTTTTTGGGTTTTTCTGTTGATGGAGCAGCCGAGGCGGCTCCAGCGGACAGCTGTGTGTTTGTAGGCGCCATCTTTAACCACATTCTCTCTTCTCTCTGACTGTTTTTACCGCGAATCTCTGCAGATGCTAGCTTGTTTCTGTTAGCCGGTTGAACCCAACCTGGCCGTTAAAATGACTCAGCTGGCTTAAACCGGTTCTGAGAAAAGAAATATCTTTACATTAAATAAGAAAATATTCAGACATTTATTGTGTGTCATTTTGGGCTGTTTTTAAACCGATAAAAAGTCGAACTTTGGTCCATTTTTGCTCCAAATCAGGACTTAAACACCTGGCGCATGCGCACTGGTCGTGTCCCGAACCAGATCTGACTGGGTTTGATCCTGGTTCTGGTCACAGGATGACCCAGAGATGTCTGATGTTCACCTAAAGATTTGATTTTTCTGTCCTCAGAGGTGGTTGCCATGGAGCCGGCCTGGAGGCAGCAGGGCAGGGGGCGGGGCAGAGGTCAGGATGCTGCAGGTGAGAGGCCCCGCCCCCAGCAGAAGGACAGGCCAGGTGTCTCTGCAGGACGAGGAGCAAAGACCAAGACAAACCCGTCTCCTGAACCTGCTAAAGGTGATGAGGATCCCAGGGTGGCGCCGGTCAGCGGGTCAGAACCGGGTCGCGTACCTTACCTGTCCCTCTTCTCTGTTAGCTGTAGGCGAGGCGGTCCAGTCCAAGTTTGAGGAGATTCGGAGGTCCAACCAGGCCGCAGCTAAGCGCCTGGTGGAGAGCCACGTCAGCTCCTCTTCCTCTGATGAAGAAAACGATGATGCTGGAGACAGACAGAGGGGGAAGGTCCTGGAGTCCACCTTCACCTCCTACACCAGCCAGACCGGTGAGACGGCCCAGACCACAGCGGTTCTGTTCTGACCGAGCCGGTGATGTTGGACCAATCAGAACCGAGGAGCTTCCTCATGTTCTGTGTCCTTTGGAATGTCTTCTGCCGTTATAAATGAGATCCTCAGGTTTAAAGATGGCCGCTCCCGCTGTCCCTCTCTCTGTTCAGGTGGCGACGCCTCGGGTCTGCACAGAACCAATCAGTACCTCAGTGACCTGTTCCAGTCCGGTGCGCTAACGTGTTTGATCTGCATCGCCTCGGTCAGGAGGACGCAGCAGGTCAGACGCAAATACAAATACAAAACCCACGATACAAATACAAAACCCACGACACTAGAACAAAACCTGCGACGCTAAAACAAAACCCGCGAAACAAATACAAAACCCACGATACAAATACAAAACCCACGACACTAAAACAAAACCTGCGACGCTAAAACAAAACCCGCGAAACAAATACAAAACCCACGATACAAATACAAAACCCACGACACTAGAACAAAACCTGCGACGCTAAAACAAAACCCGCGAAACAAATACAAAACCCACGATACAAATACAAAGCCCGCGACACTAAAACAAAACCCACGATACAAGTACAAAACCCACGATACAAATAAAAAAACCCGCGACGCTAAAACAAAACCCGCGAAACAAATACAAAACCCACGATACAAATACAAAACCCGCGACACTAAAACAAAACCCACTATACAAATACAAAACCCAAGACGCTAAAACAAAACCCACTATACAAAAAAAACACAAAAACAAAACCAACAACACTAAAATGTAACCAGTGACACAAAACAAAACCCGCGACACAAAAAAAAAAATGAAGCCTGCCACACAAAATCAAAAACTGCTGCAAAAATCTAACCTGCAACACAACACAAAAATGCAATATAAAAACAAAACCTGCGACACAACCGAAAGCCAAGACATGACAACAAAAACCTGCGACAGAAACAACAGGGCCTNACACAACACAAAAATGCAATATAAAAACAAAACCTGCGACACAACCGAAAGCCAAGACATGACAACAAAAACCTGCGACAGAAACAACAGGGCCTGCAGCTCATCTTGTCATGCAGGATCCAAAGGTCATCTTTATTAGCAGCGTTACTCGCCGTGAGTCCGTCCCACTCAGGTGTGGTCTGGACGTATACGTGAATATAACTAATCAATGCAGACCGCCATCGCCAGGTGAGTTGGAGTGCCGCCATCTTGAATGGTCAGTGTTATTCTAAATGGTTGAATCAAGAAAGTATCGGCGTTTAAATTAGGGAGATGGCGAATATTCGGCATCTGAAAATGATTGTTAACTCTGAAACAACATGGCCGAAACTTCTGATGACAACACCAACGTCACATCCAGCTTCAAAGAAAAGGATAGCTAGTAAACGGCGCAGCTAGCACGCAGTTATCACAGGTTAGCATGCAGCAGACTGGTTTCACTGAGAGAGACTGACTAAACGGTCAGGCTGCCTGCTCAGGTTAGCGGCACAAAACGCCGTAGAAAACCAAACATCAGCATTCTGAATATGAGAAGAACGCGACACGGAGAAGGAAACCCTCAGCAAACATGGCCGCTGCGTCTGTTTGAAAAGGCAGAACAAAAAGATGTCGGTGGGAAATAAATGTTCTGGTAGTTTGGTTTTAATTTAATGAAACACCTTTTAAAAAATAATCAGTTTTGTGGGCGTGCCTTTCCACATCGTTTTTAATGAAAAGACCTGATCTTATATTTGAGACATTACGGTATTAACTCCATGGCAACAGGCTGAGATGTTTCACTCATCTGTGCTGTGAATCTTATAAATATGGCGAACATAACGTGGTCCACTGTAACTTTTAACTCTAGATTATAATGATGGCTATGTTAGCGAAACACAGCAGCATTTTTTCCTTTTGCATTTATCAGTATATGTAGAGTAAAATGTATAATAAAAAGATGATCCTGGGGCCGTTGAGAAGCGGCCCCGTTGGACCGGGCCCCTCTGACTCCAGCAGAGATGTGACCCCTGCCGTCTGCATCCAGGTGTGGAGCTGCTCCGGATGCTTCACCCTCTTCCACCTGCCCTGCATCCAGAAGTGGGCCAGAGACTCCGTCTTCCTCATCTGCTCGGCCACCGATGAAGACTTCGGACAGAAGCAGCATCCCTGGCCCTGGTGAGGAAACACTTCCTCCTCACAGGATGATGTCACAGCTCCACATGATGATGTCACAGCTCCGGCCGATTACATTCTGTTTCTTCTTCATCTTGTCTTCTCAGCCCAAAGTGCCGCACTGAGTACCCCCCCAGCGCCACCCCCAACAGGTAGGTTCTGCTGCTCCTCATCCCGTAGAACTGGATCAGAACCATCTGGCTTCCACCATGTTAGTTTGCTGTGCTCACCTGCAGGGGGCGCCAGCATCCTGCTGAGACGTTGTTTAATCAGTCTCAGTCTGAGCGGTTCTACTGGGTCAGAACCATCTGGACCAGACCATTGATCCCAGTCAGCAAAGTTCTGCTGAGCCTCCTTAGTCCAAAACCCAGAGTTTCCCCTCCCTGTAACCAGTGGAGAACCAGACCCTCCCAGTAGAACCAAACCCTTCCTGTAGAACCAGACCCTCCCAGTAGAACCAAACCCTTCCTGTAGAACCAGACCCTCCC